AGTTGATTCCAAAACCAGAGAAGAACTCAACCAAAAAAGAAAACTACGGGTCAGTCTCCCTAGTGAACATAGATGCAAAAATACTTTTTAAGATACTGGCAAACAGAATGTAGAAAATCACTAAAAAGATTACACACCCTGACCAAGTAGGATTGATCATTGAGAAGCAGGGAAGTTCAATATATGCAAATCAATACATGCATAACACTATTAACATAACTAAAGATAAAAATCACATGATCATCTCAAACCATTAGCCTATCTCACAGAACTGTAGAAAAAGAATTTGACAAAATCCAATACCCACTTATGACAAAAACCTTAGAGAAAATTTAAAAAGAGGGTCTTTATCTGAATCTAAGAAAAAGCCATCTATGAGAAACCAAAAGTCAACATCAAACTAAATGGTCAAAAGCTAAAAGCTTTCATTCTAAAATCATGAACAAGACAAGGATGTCCACTATCACCTCTCCTATTCAAAACAGTTCTGAAAACATTAGCCAGACAAGATAAAGAAATAAAAGGAATAAGGATAGGAAAGTTAAACTATTATTATTTGCACATGACATGATACTCTACATGGAAGACCCCAAAAGCTCCACCAAGAGACTTGCAGATTTAATAACCAAATTTAGTAATGTAGTTGGATATAAAGTTAACATTAAAAAATCAATAGCATCCCTGTACACTAGCACCAAACTTACAGAGAGAGAAATTAGGGAAACCATACCCTTCACAATTGCATTCAGTAAAAATGAACTAGGAATCTATCTAACAAAAAAGTAAAAGATGTAAACATCGAAAATTATAATACTCTGAAAAGGGATGTTGAAGAAGATATTGGAAAATGGAAAGATATCCTTGCTCATCGGTAGGAAGAACCAACATAGTGAAAATGGGCATACTCCCAAAACTGTTATACGGATTTAATGCAATCCCAATAAAAAACCATTAACTTATCTCACAGAATTAGAGAAAATATTCCTAAAATTCATTTGGAAGCAGAAGAGATCTAGAATAGCGAAAGCAACTCTTGGCAAAACTGGGGGCATCACAATCTTTGCCTTGAAGTTATACTACACAGCTACTGTGATAAAACCAATATGGTATTGGCAAAAAAACCAGATCAGAGGATCAGTGGAACAGATTAGAGGATGCAGAGGTGACTCCAAACACATTAAACCATCTCATCTTTGACAAAGGAGCCAAACATGTTCACTAGAAAAAAGACAGACTCTTTAATAAATGGTGCTAGCAAAACCAGCTTTCCATGTGTCAGAAAGTAAAACTAGACCCATGACTATCACCATGCACTAAACTAAAGTCAAAATGGAGCAAAAACTTCAATATTAAAACAGAAACAATAACTATACTGGAAAAGAAGACAGGTAGAAATCTTGAAGATATAGGTATAGGCAGAGACTTCATGAATAATACTACACAGAATCAACAAATGGGATCTTACCTTCTTAAAAAGCTTCCGCACAACAAAAGAAATCACCAAGTGAAAAGCCAACCCACTGAGTTAGAAAAATTATAGTCAGTTGTCTCTCAGACAAAAGATTTATATCTAGAACATGTAAAGAATTAAAAAACAAAACAAAATTCAAAGACCAGGCACTCAAAATTCAAAGACCCAATCAAAGTGGGCATCTGAAATGAATATACACTTCTCAGATGAAGAAGTACAAATGGTAAGTAAATATATGAAAAAATGTTCAACACAACTGGTCATTCAAGAGATGCAAATTAAAACAACATTGACTTAGTTGTGTCCAAAATTTTCTGATCAAGGAGATTATGGGGCCAAAGAAGAAAGTGACCGATGATGTAGAGTGTGCCTAAGGAGAGTCACATGGAGAGAAAACATTCTCTCAGGCTTTCACAGAGAGCACATTGGCCAAGCAATGGCTGTGACTCATTCACATGGCTGACACTGACAAAGGTTCTACAATCTGAGGTATAGGATCTCAGGATAAATCCTGAGGGGATTTCACTGACCTTATCAGACCCAAAAGCTACAACTCTTGTTGCATAGCTCCTGCTTTATCTTGGTCTTAACTATCCAACAGAAAATTATAAAAACGAAGTATAAGAAGTAAAGCCATGGTGTTATGTTGAGCTGTAGGGGACTCAGGTCAACAATTTCTGACATTGCCAGTCAAGCAGAAGACCCAATACTATTATGGACTACTGGGCTCTTTTAGAATATTTTGCTGAGTTCACACACCTATAATATTCAAATGACGGAACTAAACAAAAAAGGGGATACAGATGAATGTCCATTTTGTATCTGTGTATTCAAAATGGTTAGGATAGATATATAGTTACATTCTCTTAATGAATAGAGGGATTTGTTGTAATAGTGTTTGTAAATAGGATATCATGTCTGCATCTTGTACAGCAAATAACCACTAGGAAGAGAGTATGCAATGTATTAATTATTGGAACTGTCCTACCAATCTGATTTGAAACTGTCTCATTGCTATTTATTTCTCAATAAAATTATGGAGGAAAAGAAAAACAACATTCAGATTCCATTCACTCCAGAAAGAATGGCTATCAAAAAATCAACCAAAAATAGATGCTGGCAGGGCTATGGGGAAAAAGGAACCCTTCTCCGCTGTTGGTGGGAGTGTAGACTCATGCAACTATTGTGGAAATCAGTGTGGAGATTATTTAAAAAACTAGGATTAGAGTTATTCCCCTTCTTGGTATCTTCCCAGAAGAATTAAAAACATCAAACTATAGTGATTTACAGGGGCCGGACAGATGGCTCAGTAGAATAAGCACTTGCCTGGCAAGCAAAAGGGCCTGAGTTCAATCTTTGGTTCCACAAAAAACAAAAACAAAAAACACCAAAACAAACAAACAAAAAACTCTCAGTGATTTATAGGCACCCATGTTTGTAGCAGTATAATTTGTAATGGCTAAATCTAGGAAACAACCCAAATGCCCATTAATTGAGAAATGGATAAAAAAGATGTGTTTTTTATATAATAGAGAACTACTCAGCTACAAAGAAAGATAAACCTGAGACTTCTATAGGAGGGTGGATGCAACCTGAGACCAAACTCATAAGGGAAATAAATTAGACCTACACGTGTAAACATCGTACCATCTCATTAGTATGAGAAACCGAAAGAGTAAATAAGACCCAAAAGGTGTAATAGATATTGTGAATAGGGAAGAAACTATTTAAAAGAAAAGAAAAAACTGTGGTGAGAGAAAGGGGAAGGGAAGGAAGTGAAAAGAAAAGAAAAAAAATATATGTATATACAAGATAGTTAAGATAGTTATACACTTAGTTGCTCTTAGTTCATCGAACAGAAAATTTTGTGCCCATATTTTTTGGACAATATTCATGCCTATATCTTGTACTCTGAATAACTACTATGAATATAACAGAATGCAACATATTAATTATTGTTACTCTTCAACTAGCCTATTTTGAAAGTCTGATGTTTTATTTTTACTTTTTTTCTGTAAAAACAAAACAAAAAAGGAACTGGCAATGTAGGAAAAGTGACACTCCTGCATGAGCCCTGGACAGTATAGAGCTGGACACTCTGGTTCTGGTTACTACCGAAGAGATTCTTGGGAGGAACTATGGTACATCCCACCTGACTTTCTTTCCTCTTGACAACAAATGCCTCAAAAAGTTCTACCTCACTGTCTTTCTACAGAGTAAGCGCACAGCCACAGGCATCTCACATTGACAACCGAAGAAGCTCTTGATTGGTCTTTGTCCTACTCAGAGTCAGGAATCTCCACCGTACTCTGAGGCCAGGGAACCTAGAGGGCAGTCCTCTCCTTTGGACCTGGTCACTAAGTAACTCTAAAGCTATCGATGACTGGATCTCAACTCTTTGTCTCCTAATGAATGAGTTTCATGATGATTGAAGAGAAAGAAAGAGAGAGGGTAGAAAAGAAAAGTAGGTTGTGGAAGGACAGAGGAAACAGTGAGAGAAAAAGCAAAAGGTATCCAGGTCAAGGCAGTTTGTCTGCGTGGAAGGCCACAGGGAAATGTGTCACCTGTTTCCAGAACCTTCTCAACCATTTCCTGCCAGCCCAGACCCAGCTTGGCTTCTTCCACATAAGCAATTAAAACTGGGTTGATTTTAAACCATCAGAAAGTAAATATAAAACAAGATTAAATATTAAGAAGCCAAACAAAGTGGCCTTATTAAAAAAGGCACAATATAAGCACGACATGCCAGCATTATAATTGTTATTACCGCTATAAACTGGGAGGAGGCATAATGCTGCCCTTGATCTGTAGCCATAATCCAAAGAAGAAAACTAGGGTTGTTGTGATCTCAGCAGGCCATAAACATCCAGCACTTCCAAGCGGAGAAAATTTCCCTCTACCATCTTGGCACCCTGGAGCCGGGCCATCGGATGTGACTGCAGGTTGAAGAAAGGTGAGCAGAGCCTGAAGGGGTCGGGGAGGGAGGTCGCTGCTGCAGGCTAACTTCAAGCTTCTGGCGAGTGTCCCTCGCCTTCCTGACCCCGCACCTGCCTTCACTAGGGAGGCAGGGCGGTGTGCAACACTCTCAGGCTCGAGGGGGAAACAAGGTGTGAATCACATAGGAGGAGCCAGATACCCCAAAGAGGAAATACAGGTCATCTGCTAAAGAGTGACAGGGGTATGCGGCACAGGGATGGTGACAGCTTTTCCATTTGCTTTGGAAATCCGACTCCTTCAGGCATAGATTACTTTTAGGCTAGAGAGGGGACATTACTCTGTTCACAAGGGTTAGTAGTTGATGGTCATCCATGAGGCATGATACGAAAGAGAAAGAGTGGTGTATGCCTTCAGCTAATCCTTCTAAAACTAGTCAGTGATATCTAATGGCCAGTCCTTATTTTAAAGCTTTGTCTATGAATTACATAATAGCAATATCAGTCATTTCTATAATGATGATAATAACAGTCGCATTTTAATCACTATGTGTCAGCTCTATCACATACTTTATTTATTTATTTTTCCCCCCACTGGAATCTCTTTCAGTGACTGAGAGTTTTCGTTTTCTGATAAAAAATATAGAAATAGTGGTTGTTTTGGGGGATGTGAAGCTCGGTTCTGGACCTCCCCACAAAGCCAGTGGTGTCCCTGAGGGCGGGGATGGCAGAGGCCTTGCTCAGAACTGCCCAGAGTCCATCCGCAAGTTTTTGATCTCCAGTTCCAATTGCTTGGCCTCGACCTCTCGCTGGGTCAGCAGCTCCCGGAGTCTTCGGATCTCCTCCTGTTGCCGATAGAACATCTGCAGCAGCTCATTCTCTGTCTTTGGTGGGGGGCATTCGAAAACGTCAAAGCCGTTTGTGAGCCAGGATTTCTTCTCCTCCAGCCTGTGCTCCACTGCCCACCTTGGCACCTTCTCCTCCAACAGGGGGCTGGGCCTCCGGCTGTCCTCTGTGGCCAGCTTTGGTGTGGGGTCCACGGGCAGGAGTGAAGCTGGGGCTGCAGCATTGGAGAGGGGTCGCTGGGGAGGCAGAGGCCGAGGGCTCAGCAGCTGGGAGCCGGGCCGGAGGGACACCAGGATTGGCTCTTTGTTCATCCCACTGAGCCACTCGTGGGCCGTCAGGGAGGGCTGGGTCCCTGCTGTAGGTGGGTAGATGTCCTCTTGGTAGGATTCCGACCGCCGGGGCACAATCATGGATACGGGCTCGATGAGGCTTTTCGTTGTGATCAGCTTGTAGAAGCGGAAGATCTCGCAGGAGGACACGTCAAGACCTCTCTTTGGCATGGCACCGATGCCCTTCTGAGGGTTGTAGGAGCGGAACTCAGTCAGGTAGGTCAGGTGAGGTTTGTCGGCACTCACCTCATAGTAGCGGATGTTGCCATCCCCCTTTCCAACCACGTAGAGCATGGTGGTGTCCGGGTCGTAGAAGGGAAACAAGACGCCGGAGGAGCCATCCAGGTCCTCCTCTGTGAGGGGCACTGAGAGGTCATCCTGGTCCCACAGGGCCATCTGCCGGTTGTTCCAGCGTGATGTGCCTGTGGATAGGAGCTTCTTCAGGTTTCCCAGAAACAGCACCTTGCTGGCCCGGTGCCCCTTGTAGCTGGCTTCCTGCAGGACTGTCCCAAGCCGGGGATCAACAACCCGAATCTTTCGGTCTTTACAGGTAGTGGCCAGCAGGCTGCCATTGGTGTTGAAAGACATGGACAGGATCACGTCTTGGTGACAGGAGATGGTTCTCATGGGGCTCATGATGACAGACTCCTTGGTGTCCAGGTTCCAGATCATCACCTTGTAGTCATAGCCGGAGCTGAAGAGGATGTTGGCAGCCGTGGGGTGCCATTCTACTAGGCCCACCCTGCGTGCATGGCCCACCAGCTCCTTCCTGTAGGCTGTGAGGTTCCTTGTCAGCAGCTGCTTGGGGATGTCCCAGAGTTTGATCGTGGCATCTTCAGAGCAGGAGGCAATCTCGAAGTCATTGAAAGGGTTCCACTTGATGTCTAGGATGTTCCCTCTGTGCCCGCAGACCTTGGGGTAGTGGGGGTCCAACTTTCCTGTCTGGTTCAGGGGGATGACGAGGAAGGCCCCCCCACCTGCACACTCAGTGACCACTGCGATGAAGTGGGGGTTCACTGCACAGAAGTGATTGTCGTGGACGCTGCGGGTGATGGGCACAGAGTCATAGCAGTTCTCCTTGCTGGCCGGTTTGCCAAAGACATGGCGGAACTTGGAGCTCCGGTACTGGGGATGCCATGACATCTTGCTGACTGCCGCGCAGGTGGCAGCGGCATCCTAATCCAGCTCCACGCCGCCCGCCGAGTCCCCGCGCGCAGCACCCTCTATCACATACTTTAAATGATTTAACCCCATGAGGAGGTATTATATGTGCCCACTTTATAGACGAAAAAACTGAGACTTAGAGAATCTACTCACTTATGCTAAGCAAGCCACTAAATAAGATCTAGGATTTGAACCTGGTGTCTCCTCTTAGCTTCTGTTACATGGAATAAATTTATAATTTCCTTTCCTAATCATGAGAGGGAGGAGAGAGACCTGAGGATGTGTTTGGGTCACCAGGAGCAGGACAGAAAGCTCCGTGGAAGTCCAGAAGAGAAGCCCCTTACTTAATCCCAGCCAGGGTTTCCTGCCAGCAGTTCTGGGCAGACACGGGAGGTGGGGTGAAGACCGGCACGTTCAGAGGCATCCACTGTGGCTGGGGCCCAGCTTTGAGCCCTGGCTCTGCCCTTTTGGATCCAAGAAGCCTTGGACATGCTGTTTCACTCCTCCGTGACTCAGTGTTGCCCCTGCAAGTGGGAGCTCTTCATCCACCCACCTTTCACTCTCAGAAGGGGCATGAGGGCTGGCCAGCCCTCATGTTATAGGTGAGAGTGTAAGTCCAGAAAGGGTCCCCAGTATCCCCAAGGGTACATGGCTAGTCAGCGGCAGGCTTCTGAACCTCCTACCACCCAGTGCCAGCTATTTTCTCACTGTCATTGACTCACACCAGCTTGGTCAGAGCCAAGCACAGAGCCTCCCCAACCCTAGCCCTGAACCAAGAGTCCCACTGTGCGTGGGGTCTGCGCCTGGTACCCTCCTCTCGGCTGTTTACAGCAGCTATATGGAGCTCACGATTCACTCTATTTCTTCTGGGCTATGTCACCCTTCATTGCTTTCTGCAGCCCGGTATAAGCTGATCTAGGTCGGACCTTCTGCAGGAGGCACTCAGGGACCCAGCATTATCTTAAAGGAGAGAGGAACCCCGCAGGAGCAAGGAGCTGTACTTCTTCAGAAGGGTCTCAGCCTTGTCCTCGTTCCAGCATGTGAATAAGCTGCCGCCTCCAATTTCCCAGCTAGCTCCATTAGTGGCATTTATGTGAAATGAGTCATTTTAGTTCCAGCCTAAGCCACTGTGCCTCTCCAGCCTCATCATTTCATGAATGAGCTTACAGGCAGCTGTCAAGAGTATCAATCAGGCTGCCCCCTTCTGGGCGAGTCCTTTAGTTCACCTCCTGGCTGCCTGCGGAATGTTTGTGGCTGTGCCTCCCCTCCTCCCTGCCCTGGTGTGGATGCAGTCCTTGGCCTAGCTGGCTGCCTCACTGCCCACACTGCTCACTGAGTGGCATTGTCCTTCAACAGTTCTTCACGCTGGGCACAGAGCCAGAGAGGCAAAGCTGCCCTCCTCTCTGGGCCAGTCAGCCTCATTAAGACAGAGGTTCAGTGCTCAGGGGCGGTGGTGGTAGTCAGCAGAAGGCTGAGTCTTGGGATGGCAAAAGTCTTGGAACTCACAGAGAACAGTGGGAGAAATCAGGAAGGTTGAATTTAGGAAAGGCAGGCTACAGAGACCTCATTAAGCTGCTTCCTCTTCCTCTTCCTCTTCCTCTTCCTCTTCCTCTTCTTCTTCTTCATTTGGTCCAGGGTCTCACTAGGCATGTGCCACCATGCTCGGTCTTAGTGGCCAGCTCAGTGCACCCGTGAATGGGGCAGGCGCGGCATGGGGTGCCAGGGCTTGAACCCCCGTCCTTGTGTCTGCCTAAGCAGGTGCTTAGTCTGCTCAGCTATCTCGCTGGCCCTGACACCAGCATCTTCTGATACCAAAAGTCTGCTTCCATGGATGGAAGAAGATGCTACCTGTTCACAGCCATGCTGCAAGGCTGTGACATCAAAGGAAGGGGCCAGAGGGGAAAGGAATTTGCTTGAATGAAGCAACCGTGCCCAATATGGCCTGGCTACTGGGACAGAATCGGGGTTGCTTGTTATGGGAGGTTTCTAAGCAAAGCCTGGATCAGCATTTTCTGGAGGATTCTTAAGACAGTTTCTGTTTTGTTTTAGAAAAAAAAAAAACAGTTGAGTTTCACAGGAAAGGAGGGCTGTAATCAGATAAAACACCAAGTTGAAGTGTGTGTGTGTGTGGCATTAGAAACAGAGAAAGGGGGCGATGGGATCAGTCACATCACAGTCACTCACAGTACCATCCTCAGGAGGCCTGTGTCCCAAGGCCCTGCCTTTCGGCCTGGGGCTAGCCGGCCAGCCTCACTTCCCATCAGGAGCTCAGCTGCGTGGCCAGTGTGCCATGGGGCCTCTCCCACTGAGCCTCTGCACTGCCGCTGCTGGCGCAGGACCCTGGGCCCCTCCACACACACTAGACCATTCTTACCACCCAGCTCTACTGCCTTATGAAGTCTTCTGGACCTGTGCAGCATCATGGAGATTTCTTTTGTGCAAGACATTGGCTACTTGTGCTGTTTGGGACAGTGATAGCTCTTTGTCCTGCACAATACAACAATAAAAATTGTGCACCATGTCATGCTGAAGCACTGCCCGATAGTCTTCATTTATTGTGCCCAATGAGCTGGGGAGAGAGCCAGGGCTGTGCGTTTATTTACAGCTAGAGGTGGGGACACCAGGGCCTTGGAGTTGGAACCTGAGCCGGCAGGCCCACTCTGCCCCAACACCGCTGCTTCTCCAGCCCCTACACTGGACATCTGATTGCCCCTCTGCCCTCCGCACCAAACCCCCCATCTCCTCCCTCTTTGCCCTAATTTTGGAGCTTTCCTCCAGCAGTTTCTCAGGAGAGCTGCAGGAGCTGACTGTTCTTTCTTTAGAAGACAGAAATGTTTTTGAAATCTAGAGAACAGGCACCCTGATCTCAACTAAAAAAGGCCTGGAGGCACTGGCAGGGGGCAGGGATGCTAATGGTCCAGAAAGCCGACAGCAGGCAGGCCTGACCTTGGCTCCCTGGGCCTGGCCACCAGGTGTCCAGAGACCTGTTAAGCTACCTCTTCCTGGATCTGAGGCTTATATTCAGTGAGGATTCATGCTGCAGGCTCAGAGGCCTTGGAAGCCCAGAAGGAAGGAGAAGATACAGATTCTGGCTTGGGAATAACATTGGAGATGCTCTTTCTGGAAAGGCCAGCTGTGTGGACTGAAGGTATTGATGGGCTGCCTGGCTGAAGTATGCACACCTTCCCTTTCACAGAGTCAACTGGCTCTATTTTTTATTTCTTGTACTGCAGAAGTAGTACCTAGTAAATAGTTGGCTAAAAAAAAATATGAAGACAGGATATCTGCCAGATTTAGAGAAAGGCAAAAGGGGACATTGCTCTTCTTTTCATTGTGAGAGGAGGTGTCACGGTGTTGTTGAGGCTGATCTTTGAAACTCTTGGAGTCATGCAATCCTCTTGCCTCAGCCTCGGAAGTAGCTGGGACTAGAAGCACATGAAACCACATCTGGCCTTTCGAGCTCAGGAATGCTGTGGGGGAGCTAACCTCCTTGCTCGTAGGAGTGACCAAGCACAGCTGTTGGCCCTAGTGAGGAGAGAGGGACTGTACGGGCAAGGAAGAGGAGAGGCTGAGCAGAGCTCTCTCAGGCTCTGTTTCCACTGGAGCCCGGTGAGTCCCAGCCTCCTCCACCCACTGACTCGTTGCTTGAGGGGGCACCGTGTCACCGGCTTAGTGCTAGGCTCACTGCTGCAGGATAGAGTGGAGAAGAGGTGGGAAATGCTCCTGGAAGCCCAACCCCTGATGGAAATGTGAGGCAGCCCAGAGCAGAGCAGAGACAGCCAAGCAATTAGCGTGAGTAATTAACCATGCAGGAGTAATTAACAGTGCCATCCGTTGCACCCACGACACCTCAGACCAGCATGGGGAGGCTAAATAGCCGCAGGTGTCAACTCCGGAGGAGGAATTTATCAACAGCTGGAGAGGCACCAGAACAGGAGGGGCTCCGTGTGGTATGGCGGGCCACCTGGCATCCCGGACCATCCATGCTCGAGGAGAGGGTTGGCTGAGAGTTCCTGGGTGCATATTAAAAGCATCATGTGTGCTTGGTGGAGGGGAGAGGGGGCCTCTGGGACACTCAGAAGCTGTGGCAGAGACGGTGTTCTGCCATCTCTCCTGTCCAGTGTTTTCAAGGCAACGCCAGAGTGAGGCTGCATGAGCTCCTGAGCAGCAGACTTTTCTCTTTTTCAGCCACCTGCTGTCCCATCAAGAGGTGTCAGTGAACACCGACTGTGTCCAAAACAAGGCTGTCCCCTCCCAGGGCCAGCCAGGCATCCCTTCTGCAATGCGGGACTCAGAGAAAGATGGTGCCAGAGGGGGCTTTGAGGGGATCGGAAGGCTCAGAGATGGGCAGAGTATTAGTACTTCCACAGCTCAGGAAACGAAGGCCCAGCAGGGAAGCACCGTCTGAAGCCACAGAGCTTAGTTCACAGTCGGTCTCAGCCCAGAAGCAGGCTTCCTGACGCCCTTCCTAGGGCTTCCTTCCGCTCCTTTTCTCCTTCCCAGCACCAGCTTCCTTATTCTGCAGGGCACCCCTGGGTTCTGCACTCACCACCTTCCTCTTGCTTCACAAAAGAGAAAAAGTCGTTTTGGAGTGTGGAGTCAGACAGGTTCTGCCAGGGTGTGGGCCCACGCCAGCCTCCTATGAGCTGTCTCTCTGCACCTCACCTTGCTCATCTAAAAATGGTGATAATTGTACCCATCTGGGAAGGTTAAGTGAGGATTAAAGACAATACAACTAAGAGAGGGTACCTACCTAAGGATAACTGTCATTCAAGATATGTAAGAGCAACGCTCCCTTTGTGTGTGTGTGTGTGTGTGTGTGTGTGTGTGAGTGTGTGTGTGTCAGAGAGAGAGAGAGAGAGAGAGAGAGAGAGAGACCTATTTTTCTGGGGCAATGCAAAAGCAAAGAGAAGATCCTCAGGACCCTCCTGCTCTGCATCTCAAATGTCAGCAAGCGTCTGAACACCAAGCTGTGAGGATGTATGTACCTCAGGGCCAACCTCTAAGTCAACCTCACAGGTGATTATTTCCCCTTTGGGC